TTAACTGAGCAAATGCACCATAAGCATTTTAACATAGCAAATATATAAGGAATAAGAGAACATTGTCTTAATGTATTTTAATGTACGTCTCATAAATATGATAGAAACAAAGTTACTGAAAACAGGGAATTTTCACTAAGTGTCTAACTGGTATCTGTTTGTTTTAAATTGTATAAACATTTTAGCAACAGAAACCTGGATTAGACTCTGAGATCTTCTGTTTACCATTGAGTGACATTGGATAAGATGCCAAACCTTTCTGGGATGCAGTGTTCTCATCTATAAAATGAAGAATAATAGTAGCTCCTTTCTTGAATTGTTAGAAGGATTAATTAAGATAATTATTATAAAATGATAAGCACCATGCCCACCACACAGTAACCTATACATTCAGTACATAATGCTAGAAAAATAAATTATAACAATCATCCTCATTACTATCTACTGTGTAAAATTCCATTAATCTATGCAAGCCATTTTTTCTTGCTGCTTTTTTTTTCTATTGCCATTTATATAGTTTCATAATTTTACACAGTTATATATACCACAGAGAGAGAACTTTGTATTGGCCTCATTTTACTTCTTGTTTTGCTTTATATTTTACCTGAATTGTTTATGAAACAATGTACCTTCAAGTTCCCAATTGCTGAAATGACAGGAACATTCTAATTGTTTGTAGTGATAAGCTCTGTGATAAACATCTGTGAACATATGTCATTTTCTACCATATAGCATTGCTAACTTTTGAAGTTACAAACTTAAGGTAAATTTCTAGTAGTATTCATGTCTTTTAAAGTATAACGTGATTGCTTTCACATTGGTGAAATAATGTCACTAAACTCCTCCCTCAACTCTGTATGTTGTAATTTATAGTTTCTCTAAGTATCAGAAGTTTTGTCAATTTTATATGAGTTTGCTTAATCTTTGTAATTTTTATAGAAAGTTTATATTATCAATATAAATATTAGAGCACTTTCTCTTTGAAGATCTGCCCTTGAAGAAATGGTGATTCACTTGATAATTTGGACTCTCTTGGTGGCAGTAACACTTCTTAACTACATGTAGTTAGCCACCTCATCCATCCCTACTCCTTCGAGAAATATTTTAAATTTTTTGAAAACATTATTCTTTGATCTATTGGTTGTTCAGGAGAATGTGTTTAACATTTGTGGATTTGTAAATTTTTTGAACTTTCTCATGTGATGCATTTCCAGATTTATACAATTTTGGTCAGAAAAGGTACTTGGTATTATTTCAGTCTTCTTCAAGTTGTTAAGACTTGCTTTGTTACTTTTTGTATGATATATTGCAAGAATATTTTATATGCAGTTGAGAAGAATGTGTATTTTGTGGCTGCTAAATGGAATATTTTATATGTGTCTATATCCAGCAGAATACTACTTTTACCTATAGTGTAGATTATTCAGTCTATAGTGTCTCTAGTTCATTTAGCCGATAGTGTAATATAAGTCCAATATTTCCTTATTGATTTTCTGCTGGATAATCTTTCCGTTGCTGGAAGTGAGTTGTTGAAATCCCTATTATTGTTTTGCAGTACGTATCTCTGTTCAGGTTTATTAATATTTTGTAAAAATATTTATGTGCCCTGATGTTATGTGCATATATATCTATAATTGTTATATCCTCTCGCTATATTTACCTCCTTATCATTGTATAATGACCTTCATCTCTTTTTTTATTGTTGTTGTTGGCTTAAAGGTTGTTTTATTTATTGTTAGTACAACTACCCCTGCTCTCTTTTGGTTTCTTTTGCATGGCATATCTTTTTCTATGCCTTTACTTTTAGACTATATGTTTCCTCACCAGTAAATGAGTCTTTTGTAGGCAGCATATGCTGGGGTCTCAGTAATACTGATTATTATTCCTTACAGCCTTTGGTGTGGGTCTTTAGCCTCAGGGTGTTCCACAGCAGGAGCACACAAGCTAATATGTAGCTTAACACTTAAATGATTCTCTCAGATTACTGGAATTTCTATCTATGTGTTTCTCTTATTTGCCATAATTAGCCTTGTTGACTGTTGCTGCCTTGTTTTATCCAGACACTTAGAGTCATCTTCCCACCTTAAGTAGTGTGCTGGCTCTGCTTTTTTAACCAAAGCCTGGAAACTCTCTCATATCAGTATTTTGGTACAGTGATAGAGCTCACCTTGTTTGCTTCCATTATATATTTTCCTTCATTGCTTAGTGTCCATTGTCTTAGAAACTACTGTTCTGTGTGTTTTGGTTAGGTGGTTAGTTAGGAGAGTAAAACTTGTCACTGCAATTTCATCTTGAACAGAAGGCCCCAAGTGACTTCTATAATTTCAAGGTTAATAAAATTTGACATTCATTATTCTAATATAAACATTCATCAATCGACACAATCCCTCTTTCTTGCAATTACTAGGAAAAGAATAAGGAGAAGGCTTAGACAGCTTATAATAGATACCACTGAAGTTTAGCAGTATCAGCACCTTAGCCTGCTTCACACTTAGGCAATAGACAATTCTGTGTTGAGGTATCTTGCTTGAAGTATCTCAAATCATAATGCTAACAATGCACTTTCCATTTTATATGCTTTAATTTCTAAGACTCAGCACAAATGTTTTGAGAAGGCATTATTATCATTACTGTTTTTCATTTTGAGTAATTAGTGTTTATATTAATTTGGATTCCACCAGCTGCTATTAAGTGCCAGATCTAAGACAAAAGATTAAAAGCCATGGCATTCTTTTTTTATTTTTATTTTATTTTATTATTTATTTATTTTATTTTACTTCAGGTTCCGGGTTACATGTGCAGATCATGCAGGATTGTTGCATATGTACACACATGGCAATGTGGTTTGCTGCCTCCATCCCCCTGTCACCTACATCTGGCATTTCTCCCCATGTTATTCCTCCCCAACCTCCTTACCGGCCCCCCACTGTCCCTCCCTTGGCCCCCCCCAACAGACTCCAGTGTGTGATTCTCCCCTTCCTGTGTCCATGTGTTGTCACTGCTCAACACCCACCTATGAGTGAGAACATGCGGTGTTTTATTTTCTGTTCTTGTGTAAGTTTGCTGAGAATGATGGTTTTCAGATTCATCGTTGTCCCTACAAAGGACACAAACTCATCATTTTTTATGAATGCATAGTATTCCATGGTGTATATGTGCCACATTTTCCTTGTCCAGTCTATCATCGATGGGCATTTGGGTTAATTCCAGGTCTTTGCTATTGTAAACAGTGTCGCAATTAACATATGTGTACATGTGTCTTTATAATAGAATGATTTATAATCCTTTGGGTATATACCCAGTAATGGGATTACTGGATCAAATGGAATTTCTATTTCTAGGTCCTTGAGGAAGTGCCACACTATCTTCCACAATGTTTGAACTAGTTTACACTCCCACCATTCTTTTCTAAAGGGCAATTCCCACCTCAGATTATGCAATACAATTGTGACATTCTTATTTGGAGATATCTTTAGAATTAGAAGAGTCCTTTTTAAACATATGCAAACAACTGAGCACAGAGAAATAGCTGGCTAGATAGTATGATATTTTCAGTCAACTGTAGTTCTATCATTTTCTTTCCCTGATTAAAACATCAGCAGGATTTCTGGGAACACAGAGACAGTATAAATACAGATGTTTTCTTATGTAGTCCTTCATGCTGCCAGGTTGCCTTTTTAAACTTGAAGGACATTTTCACAGAATACGTACAACCTTTTAAAATAAACTACCCTGCTATCACCTTGTATGCTAAGTTTACACCTGTGATGTTTTAATCCCCTGGGAATATAAATTTAATCGAAATCCTGAACAGCTTTCTATCTTTAACTAAGAGAATGCTGCCAATGTTAGATGGCATTCTCCAGGTAATACTGATGAGGTCAGTTCTATACAGCAAGGAAATTGCAAGATGTCTTTCTGCTGACAAATTATAAACTGTGCTTATACATGCTATACAAATATAAGGTAGTTCAGAGTATTGAATGGTTGCAGAGCTATCAGTAAAAGTCATTATTTATATTGAATGAATAGGAAATCTCTATTTCTAGCACTTTTTAGATTACTGACATGAAATGTACATACTGTATCATACATATCCCTGAGAAAATAGGATTATATTTGCTTCTGATTTTTTTAAAAAACTAATTTACATCAAAATTAAGCAATTTTTATACTAGAAAATGGCAAATATAGAACATAAGTTCATCAATTATAATCAACTTTAATTTAATCATAGTATCAGAGGAAATAATGTTTCCTTAAATAAAATTCCTAAGGAGTACAACAATCTGTTGAGCCTATTTGTTTTATATTTCTGTCAAAAACTCAATTATTTTTCCTATGATAAAATAAATGTAGTGAAGTTTTTTATGCTCTTCTTTGTACTACTCACCTAGTAACAGGTATGGAAAATCAGGAATGAAAAAAAAGCAAAGGTGATACAAACATTTAAAACCTAAATCCTGATTAATTGAGATTTCATAACACTTGTTTTATTGCATTTATCGTAATCATTCCAAATAGCAGAAAGTTTGTATGTGTGTTAAGGTGGACTAATTTACTCCTGTAGTTATAAATGTGATAGAAAAAAAATCTTCCTTCAATGTATGTAGAGTGGATTTTTTCTTATTTGTTTGTGTTCCCTATATATCCAGTGACTTTCAAACTTTTTTTAACCAAGGATGTGAAACTATTTTTTTCAAAAATTCCACTATACACACTTGTATCTGTGTTATGCAAAAGTATGAAATGAAATTCTTATACATACTATGTGCAATATAGTCTGTTTTTATGTACTATTTTATTCTAGTCTGTTTTTATGTACTATTTTATTCTATCTTGTTCTATTTTAATTATTCTCATATTTAAAAACTAATATATTTAATCAGTTTGATTAAGTTGAGCTCTGCTTTGTAAAATGTTATAGGGTAGGTAGACCAGCAACCCGTCTCTACCCGTCTTTTTTTTTTTTTTTTTTCTCCTGAAAAACAGCATCATGTTTATTGGAAGAGCTTGAGAAAAACAAAAATACAATTTAGCTTTTGAAGTTGTGAGTTATCTGCAAATCAACTCATTTCAGGAGTGGAAGAATCCCTGGAATTATTTCTTAATATCAAAATGTACGCAGGTTTCTCTTTTGAATGTCTTGTACATTTAAAGAGGCCCTTGTACAAAGTCTCCACAGGACAAATTCTTTGTTTCAGCCAACTCTCAGTGGAGGGGCAACCAGTACAACGCCGTCTCCCCGGACAAAGAGCATTGGAATATTTCGCTTCGTTGATTTATATATCTCTTCATATGTTTCTTCATCAATTTCTATAGTAGTCACAGTTTCTTCTACATCTCCTAAGATCATATTAAAATGTTGATCATAAGCATGTAATCTGCCTCGAAGCTCTCGGTCATTTCTCATTTTCACATAAATTCGCTCATCTAGGCTGAGCCTGATAAGATCCAGGCGCTCCTCTACAGTGTTGGTAGTTTGTTGCTGGTCTACTTCCTTTTCAGGGAGTTTTCTGATATATTTAATCCCTGGCTCACGCCTATAATCCCAACAATTGAGAGGCTGAGGTGGGCAGATCACCAGAGGTCAGGAGATCAAGACCAGCCTCACCAACATGGAGAAACCCTGTCTCTACTAAAAATACAAAATTAGCCAGGCATGGTGGTGCATGCCTGTATTCCCAGCTACTTGGGAGGCTGAGGCAGGAGAATCCTCCCAGGAGATGGAGGTTGCAGTGAGCTGAGATAGTGGCATTGCACTCCAGCCCAGGAAACAAGAACAAAACTCCATCTCAAAAAAAAAAAAAAAAAAAGATATAAATTTTTTTGAAGTAAATAGAAAGTAAGTTTGTAATGTGCACCAAGTCTGTATTACTCTACTAAGAAATGTAACATTTGTTGGTTTTTCCAATCTCAGGTAGTTTGATATAGTTTATTGATTTTCCATGAATTTACATAGACTTTCTGTTTTATAATCCTTCAGTTACGATTTTTATATACGAATTTAACTTTTATTTTCAGTAATATGATGATAAAGGCTATCTTAACAAAATGTTTCCATTAAAAGGAACTGAAAATGCAAAATTTAATGTTTACTCGTTTTTTAATTCCCAAAAAGCTAACAAGATAGCAAAAATCAATCTAGATTCAAAGTAAGAGCAGTACCCCAAATGTCAAGCAAATAAATAAAACTTATTTTGTTCTGGAGCATTTGTCCAACTGCTTAATTTCAACTTTATATTGGACAGGATTATATGCAAGGGCCTGAAAGTGAGGAAACAGAAGTCAAGGTCTGGGTCGACTCAAGCAGAAATTTTTAATAAGACACTCTCCGTGTCCAGAAAAATTTTAACATAAAAGGGGAAGTCCACAGACTAAAAGGAAACCAGTAGTAAATTCGTATCTTTTCTACTTTGTCACTCTGCCTACTAGGTTCAAATGATTCTCCTGCCACAGTCTCCCAAGTAGCTGGGGTTAGAGACACCCACCACCACACCCAACTAATTGTTGTATTTTTTGTAGAGACGGGTTTTGCCATGTCAGCCAGGCTGGTCTCGAACTCCTGAAGTGATCCACTGGCCTTGGCCTCCCAAACTGCTGAGAATACAGGCAGTAGCCACCATGTTTGGCCAACATTTTCTCTTCTTCTAATGGCTGCACAGAGGTATATTCTATTGACCAATTTAGGCAAAGCAATACTTAGACGAAAATAAATTAAAGTTAAAAACTAATCTACATCTAATACACTGTTGACAATAATAAGTTAAATGGAAGTTAGGTAAGATGAAATCATTCAAAATGTAACCCAAAGGCATAAATGAAGGAACAAATTTTGTTTGATGCAGGAAATAAAGGTTTAATTAAATTTAGAAAGTATTTGTATTAGTCTGGCTTGTACTGCCAAAACAGAATACCATGGATAAATTACAGCTTGTGTGATTTATAATGAGTAAAAATTTATTTTTCACAGTTTTGGGGGATGAGAAGTTCAAAATACAGGTGTCAGCTTCTGAAAAGGACCTTCTTGCTTTATCATAACATGGGAGAACGCATCATACAGGTAAGAGACAAAAAAGAGCTGAACTCATCCTTATATAGGGAACCCACTCCTGTGATAACAAATACACTCTTGCAATAAGAGCTTTAATTTATTCATATGGATGTAGCCCTCATGGTCTAATAACATCTTAAAGGTTTCACCTCTTAAAACTGTTACAAAGACAATCAAATTTTAATATGAGTTTGAAAGAGGCCTTACATTCAAGCCATAGAAATATTCAATTCCTTACATTAATAAATTAAAAGAGAAAATTTTAATTTTAAATATTTCAATTGCTTACATTAATAAATTAAGAGAAAATTATAATTTTTAAATACTTTCATTTATTATATATTTAATAACAATTTTATAATATATCTAGTGTGCTGTGAAGAAAAAAAAAACATTTCTTTAAGGTAATAGAGGTGCAGTATGCAGAGAAATGGTTTTCTCAGGTTTGTCTTCAAGGAAATATTTACTGCCCCAGCTGTTAGGAATGCTCTCAACAGATCACCTACGCTTGTTAGATTCGTCAATGTTTGTCCTAGCTGCAGGTACTCAAGTAGCTTGGACATTTAGGACCCTATGTGAAAACAAAAACCAACAACAAAAAAACTGATCTACTAATTCTCTGTAAAGGACACTAATGAATCACACAAAGTTTATTTGACTCACAATGCAGTTTGATATATTCTGCTCAATCCTGTTTTCTCCAACTCTCAATCACTGTATTGACACCTCAAATATCCTGAATATCAAACCCTGTCTCAGGAATTGCTTCCAGGGAACTCAAATCTATTACAATAGTGTATCTAATAAGACTGCATTCTATAGTAAATATCATGCTGAAACATGAAAAAGTTAAACTTCAAAATTGCTAAAAACAAACGTGGTTGGAGATTGTATTAATGGCTCACTTCTCCATTCTTTCCTTTATCTATAACCTTTGCCAATGAGCTTCCATTCTTTACTAACTAGATGGAATATATTTCCCCATAACTTAACCTCAGGTTTGACCATGTGATTTGCTCTAACCAGTAGAATGAGAAAGAAGTGATGACGTGTCACTTGCAAGCCTAAGATCTTAACTCCTGGAGCAATCGGTGTTAGTTTTATTTTTCTTTGAGGTAAAGATTTTAGCCAGTTTTATAAGGAAAAACATTAGGAAAAAAATTTTATTATTTGTAGATGATAATACAAATATAAGATAAAATATTAAATATTCTAAGGGATAGCTTGGTGGATAAAATAACAATATACAAATTTATATTGATGCATACCAACAATATTTAACTTAATTTATTTATTTTAAGAAAGGATCTCACTCTGTTGCCCAGGCTGGATTGCAGTGGTGTGATCTTGTCTCACTGCATTCTTTGCCTCTCAGGCTCAAATAATCAATCCTCCCACCTCATCCTCCTGAGTAGCTGAAACTGAATTCATTTGTCACCATGACTTGCTAATTTTTTTTTTTTTTTTTTTTTTGAGACAGAGTCTTGCTCCGTCGCCAGGGGCCAGGCTGGAGTGCAGTGGCACAATCTCAGCTCACTGCAAACTCTGTCTCGCGAGTTCAAGCAATTTTCCTGCCTCAGCCTCCCGATTAGCTGGGACTACCAGCATGACTGGCTAATTTTTGTATTTTTTGTGGAAACAGGTTTCTGCCATTTTGCCCAGGTTGGTCTCAAATGCATGAGCTTAAGCTATTTGCCCACCATGACATCCCAAAGTGCTGGAATTACAGGTATGAGCCACCACACCCAGCCCCAAAGATATTTTAAAATTAAGCAATTTTATTGTATTTAAATATTAAATTTAGAAAATATGTTATTTTTAAAAACATTGGAAATGTGGTTGAATTTGGGATATCATTTATGAAGTTGTAAAAGTCCTCTATAAAAAAAACTAGTGACTACTGATGAGTCAAAACTTGGAAACTTATAAGATATTCACTAATTGGAAAATTCTATATTGTCAGCAAAATTTTCTCCAAATTAATCTGTTGATTTAATGTAATCCCAATCAAAGTACAAAAAGTTCATTCAGGAATTTGACCATTGAGGTGCTGATTTTAAAGAAGTACAAAAGGTCCAAAATACACAAGCAACTCTTGAAAAGAATTATGAGATGAGGGAACTCACTCTATCACACTTCAGGATATATTATGTGGGTGCTATGTTGCTGGAGGTATAAACGTGGACTAAAGTCAGAGATTTAAAAAGTGAAACCATGTTTGTGCATTTTATATATATATATGTGTGTGTGTGTGTGTGTGTGTGTGTGTGTGTATGTGTATGTGTATCAGAAATGGCACTGAAACTCAAGGGGGTATAAAAATGTCAATTAATAGTGTTTGAATCACTAAACAATATTGGTGTAATACATTGAATCACTACTTTTCATCCTGCATAAAAATAAATTCATGGATCAATGAACTAAATAAAAAAGAAAATAGATAAAATTTGAGTAATATAGAAAATATTCTGTATTTAATACATAATCTTACTTTCAAAGTAATACCAGTGAGAAATGTTTTCCTAACAAAATTAGTGACGTTTTAAGGCTTCAAATGCCTAGTGTTAAACATGTGACCAATATGCTAATCTTCGTTTTATTTTAAAGTTGTGTTTAAGATTATAACTGGCAAAGCTTTATAAAGTAATTCCTTGAATCATCACAGTATTCATTGTTTTCTAAAAAGGGTAATTGATTCCATTTTTATTGTATTACTACTGATGGGTAATTTTCCTATCACACATTGGTGTAGGGTAATGATTAGTTACATCTTCGTAAAATAGAAAAGTGTTTCAAATATCTAGCTTCTCTCAGCTCTAAATTGTCTAATAATATCACAATTTTAGTGTTAAAGAAAAAATATTTTTTGAATCTATCATAATATTTCACATAGTTCTCATTGAATCTTACCTTTTTCACTAAACTAAACTCTTCTAGTGGCAACAGTGTGTAAGAATTAGGAAATATGAAGACTCATTTACCTTAACCTGATAAGCTTTTCCTCTCCATCTTAGCCAGTATAGAGAGGAACTAAAATGTGTTAGTCAAGTTTGGTGAATACAGGAAGTTTTTAATATTTTCAAATGTATTTCCCTTCATAACTTCAAACAATCTTACTAAAAAATCTATTTTCCTATTTATTTGATATACCTATCTAAGTAGACCAGTTTAGTAGAAATAAATGATTCTTTTATTTGTTTTCAATATGAATTATAAATCAGACAACAGAGCTATCATGTTTTGATAACCGGGCATTTTGCTGAAATTTTATATGTTTTATCTCCATGAATCATAATTTAATTTTTAATAGAACTTTTAAATTTTTAATAGAACTTTTCAAGGAACATATTAATTGTAAAAAAAGAGACTAATCTGAATTATCAAAGGTTAAATTCTAAATCACAAAGCTACTATTAAAAGTAAAGATTTCCAAAAAAAGTTATTTTAATTTTTAATTATTCATATATTTATATTTCCACAAGATAAATTATGTAAATGTTCCAATTAAAAGGATAAAATAACGATGTAAATATATTATTTTAAGTAATTGTTAAAATTGGCCTAAACCATAATATTTTTTAAACATATAATCTCCTATTGGGTTTGAACTTCTCGGATATGTTGTAAAATGTAACATTCAAATAAATTATTTATTTAGAAATATTAAATGATGTAACTTAATTATTTTTTACATTTTATTGAAGATTAAATAATGTGGTTGTTCTTAATAACATATTAAGAACCAAATGATTAAACACACACATATGTTTAAGATCTTTGTGGAAGGTAAATTTGGTAGCCACATGAATTCTCATATGTTGATACATCTTTAAATACGCTTAAGAAAAGCACCTTGTTTACCTCTCCAATGTTTGATCTCATGCGGAAATAGAAATGACAATAACAGATTTCCAACTGACATGCTTCTGCTTGGCTGACTCTTAGTTCCTTAAGGTAAAAAGGTATCTGGAAGGTAAGCTAGATGATTTGATTAAGTAATTTAAATATTGATCTTTTTAATACATAAAGAATAAAGTAGTATGTCTCTAGTGCTAAAAAAAACTCCCTGATTAAAAGTTATGGATATGAAGAAGAGTATTTCATTTTCAATTCACAAAAAATAAATAAATGTTTTGAGTGCATGTACATTTAAAAGTATTAGTTAAAATGCAATCCATAAAGAGGCAATGTCGTCTAATAAACAATCCTTAACCTTATTCACAGAGAAAACTAGACCAATTATTGTATATTAAATACTAAAATTCTCATTATATTCTAAACAAATTTTCAATGTACCATATATTTTTACTTATATTAATTTAAATGAGAAAGGGCTACATATATATTACAGGAATGAAGCAATATATTTAACACAGCCTTTTGTTATATTAAATCTTCATAAATTATCATTCACTATATATACATACACACATGCGTATTCACTCATCTGGTTTTTCAAATAAATATTGAGTGCATATCATGTGCCCAACACTGAGGATTTATCAGTGCAAAAACCATCATGATTCTCAAAGTTAATGAATTTAGAGTTTATTTTTATTTCATTACATTTTCTGTTTTCTAAAAAAGGCATGTGTGTTTCCATTTTTTAAACTTAGAAGTCAACAAGGTTCTATCCTAAAGGCATTTTGTAGATGCGATGAAAGTCCCAGTCAATTGACTTTTAAATCGAGAGACTGACTATACTATACCATGTGAGTATTCTTGCTTTAATCAATTAAAAGACCTTAAGAGCAGAGCTGAGGCTTCCTTTGATAAAAAGGAAATTCATTCTGTAGACTATGAGCAGCAGCATTTTAAAAAATAAACCTTTGTGTGTGTGTGTACATGTATACGTATCACACACCTGTGTGTGTGTGCATGTGCACAAGATACATATATACACACACACACACTGCTCACTATAATAAAATCTAAGGCTCAATGTCAGAGTCATATATATATATATGATATATGTGTTATATGTGTCAGAATCATATGGTTGTGTACACACATTTACATTCATTTTATACATACATATATATTCTAATTTCATTATTTATGGATTCTCTATTTTTCTATTTGTTTGCTCACTAAAATTAATTTATAACCACAAAATTAATGATACTTATGGTGCTTTCATGGTTATGGGCATGTACAGCACAATGAAAAAACCAAATCAACCTGTACATTCCCAGCTGAGGTTGAAAAACATACCACTCTACCTTTTGGTGAGAACAGTGGAATTGCTTGAACAATAGAAAGATGTGGTGAATTGGGTCAGATAACCACACTTTTTATGTTGACTCTATTCTGAATGATCGTAAACTATCTAGGCTAATTGAGCTTCTGGTAATAACAGCATTTGTAACAGGCTTCTATGGCAAGATGGAGTTAATTCCATTAGTTTTTAGGAAATCTGTTTATTCTTTGTGAATGACAAATATGAAATTAAGTTATATGTACATTCCTTAGTTCCCAATAATGGAGACATTTACATTATATCTGTCCATATTCCATATTCCTATCATAATTATTTTTAATAGTGAACAGTAGTCTTATTTTATAGTATAGAGATGAAGTGAAAATAAGTAAGTGGAAAATAAAAGAAAGAAAATCAAACTCCTGCATGGTATTATCCCATCAACCTAATCAACTTACTTTGTTATCTAAGAAATCTACTTTCAAAAATAGAAGTCAATACTAAGATCTTCCAAAACCACACAAATGAAAAATAAACAATTTCTTTATGAATGACTTTTGAGTATACAATCAAATTAAGGCAGAAATCAAAAAGCCTTAGAAGTATTTGAAAACAGACACAACATACCAAAATCTCTAGGATATAACAAAATCAGGGTTAAAAGGAAAGGTTATAGCACTAAATGCCTACCACAAAATGTTAGAAAGAACTCGATTTAATGACTAACGTTACACCTAGAAGAACTAGTAAAATAACCCCAAAGCAAGCAGAAGAAAGAAATAGCTAAAATCACAGTGGCGCTGAATGAAATTGAGACCCAGAAATTTACACGAAGAATCAATGAAACAGAATCAATGAAATAGAAAGTTGGTTATTTGAAAACAATAAACAAGATCGATAGACTGCTAGTGAGATTGACAAAGTTAAAAAAAAAAAAAAGATCTAAATAAGCCCCATCAGAAATGCCAAAGGTGACATTAGAACCAATCCAACAGAAATAGAAAACATTCTCAAGGACTACTATGAACATCTTTATGCACACGAACTAAACCTAACGGAAACTGATAAATTCCTGGAAACACACAACATTCCAAGACTGAATTAGGTATAAATTGAAACCCTTAAGAGACCAATAGCAAGTTTGAATATTGAGTCAGTCATTAAGAACTTATCAACCAAAGTCCCACATCAGATGGACTTATAGCCTAATTCTACCACATGTGCAAAGAAGAGGTTGTACTAATTCTACTAAAACTATTCCCAAAAAAAAAAAAAAAAAAAATCAAGGAGAGGCTTCTCCCTAACTCATTCTATGAAGCCAACATAACCCTGATATCAAAAGCTGGTAAAGATACAACAAAAAGGAAAGCTTCAGGCAAATATCCCTAATAAACATAGACATAAAATCCCTCAACAAAATAGTAGCAGACCAAATCCAGTAGCACCTCAGTCCACCTACAATTATGTAGACCTGAGATACGATACTGATTCAACATATGCAAGTAAATATATACAATTAACTATAAAACAAAATTAAAAGCAAAAACTGTGTGATCATCTCAAAAAAGACGGAACAGATCTTTAATAATATCAAACATCTTCTTATGATAAGAACCATTAAAAATCTAGACATCAAAGGAACATACTTCAAAATAGTAAGAGCCTTGTATGGCCAATCTACAGCCAGCATCATATTGAATGGGCAACAGCAGAAAGAATTTCCCTTGAGAACTGCAACAGGATGGCAATGCCCACTCTCATCACTCCTACTTAATACAGGACTGAAAGTCCTAACCAGAACTATCAGGCAAGAGAAAGAAATAAAAATATTCAAACAGGAAAAAGAGAAATCAAACTATCTATCTACTCCAAAAATATGAATCTATAACTGGAAAACCCTAAAGACCTTTCCAAAAGGCTCCTAGAACTGATAAATGACTTCAATAAACTATCAGGATATGCAATCAATGTACAGAAAGCAGGAGCATTTATGTACAGCAAGAACATTTGAACTGAGATCCAAATCAAGAATGCAATCCTATTTACAATAACGGCAAAGAAATAGGAATACATCTGAAAAAAATAGTGAAACCTTTCTTCGAGGAGAACTACAAAACCCTGCTGAAATAAATCATAGAAGACACAAGCAAATGGAAAAACATTCCATGCTCATGGATTGGAAGAATCAATATTGTTAAAATGGCCATACTACAGAGCTACACTTACTAAAACAGTATGGTCTGATATAAAGTCATACACATAGACCAATGGAGCAGAATAGAAAACCCCAAATTAAAGCCATATACCTACGGCCATTTTATCTTTGACAAAGTTGGTAAAAATAAACAACAAGGAGAGGAATCCCAGACAGCTGTGATAGCTGACTAGGTATATACTGTTTTCAAACAGTATGGCAAAGCATGACCCAGTATAATGGTGTTTCTTGAACTCTTTTCAGCTAAGTGCCAAATTTTGAAGGATGTATAACATGTATTTTGATTTTAAATGCTTTACATCTGTTTTTATGACCACATTAAACAAAATGGGACAACTACCTTTCACCATATACAAAAATTAACTCAGGATGGATTAAATATTTGAATGTTGTATCTCCAATTATAAGAATCCTAGAAGAAAATGTAGAAAAAACTATTACAAATTTCCGCCTTGGCAATTTGTGACTCAGTCCTCAAAACAACAACAACAAACCAAAAATTGACAAATGGAACCAAATTAAACTAAACAGCCTCTGCTCAGCAATAGAAACCAGCAACAGAATAAACAGATAGGCTACAGAATAGAGGAAAATATTTGCAAACTATGTATGTGGCAAGGGTCTAATATCCAGAATCTAAAAGGAACTTAAACAAATTAACACCAAAAAACAAATAGCCCCATTAAAAAGCGTGCAATAGACACACACAAACACTTCTCAAAAGAAAACATACAAGCAGAAAAAATATTTAAAAATTATCATCATCACTATCATCAGAGAAAAGTAAATGAAAACCACAGTGAGATACCATCTCACACCAGTCAGAATGGCCATTATTAAAAAGTAAAAAAATAACAGATGCTGATGAGGCCATGGAGAAAAGAAATCACTTAGGCATTGTTGGTTAGAAGGCAAAATAATTCAGCCCTTGTGGAAAGCAGGATGGAGAGTTCTCAAATAAATAAAAATGAAATGACCATTTGACCCAGTAATCCCCTTCCTGGATATATACCCACAGGAAGAGAAATCGTTCTATCAAAAAGACACATGTACTCACATGATCACTGTAGCATTGTACGACCATAACAAAGACATGGAATCAACCTAGGTGCCTATTGGTACTAGACTAGATAAAGAAAATATGGTACATATACCCCATGATATACTACACAGCCATAAAAAGGAGTGAAATTATATCTTTTGCATATACATGGATGCATCTGGGGGCCATTTCCTTAAGGGAATTAATGCAGTAACTGAAAACCAAACACTGCATATTCTCACAAGTGGAAGCTACTTTGGGTACTCATGGATATAAAGATGGGAAAAAAAAAGACACCGGGGACTACTAGAGCAGGGAGGAAGGGAATGGATATCATCTGTACTCCAAACCTCAGCATCACATAATATAGCCATGTAACAAACCTGCACATGTATTCACTGAATGTGAAATAAAAGTAGAAATTA